ATATATATGTATATCTATCACGATTCCCCTCCCTTCATCCCTCCCTCCCTCTCTCTCTCTCTCTCTCTTTACTTATGGACTCTTTTCTTTCCTCTCCCTCTCTCGGTCCCTTCGGGTGTCGTTCCAGCTTTTTGTCATTTACCCAAGATGGAGATAGACGGCTGTCTGACTGACTGTCTGACTTACTCACTGCGTGGCCGCGCCCTTGGACACGCCGTGTTATGGTCGGCCGCCGAGTGCGCAACATATGGCGCAACCATTAGCAGGCCATTGTGTTTCAGCTGCTGGGTGCCCAATCTATGGCGCAACCAGGTGCAAACCATTTCATGGTCGGCCGCCGAGTGCGCGACCTATGCCGTAACCGCTCGCAGGCGGTTTCGCTTCCGGCCGCTGGCTGCGCAGGCTGCGGCGCAACCAGCAGCAAGCCGTTTAAACTTCGGCCGTCGAGTGCGCAGCCTGCTGCGCCACCTAACCACGCTAGGCTTTTAGAATTTTAGAATGTCTTTAGAACCCCTCCCCAATGGTTGGCAACTGATTATCTTTTCGGCGACCTTATTGACGGACCGCGGCCCCACCAATAGTGGAACATCATGATTTCTCCGCGGCGCCCGCCGCACAACAGCAGCAACAACAACAGCAACAGCAACAGCAACAACAGCAGCAACAACAACATCAACCACAACCACAAACACAACAACAACAACAACAACAACAACAACAACAACAACAACAACAACAACAACAACAACAACAGCAACAACAACAACAACAGCCACAGTAACAACACCGCCACCAACAACAACAACAGCAACAACACCAGCAACAACAGCAGCTCCAGCAACCACAACAGCAACCACAACATCAACAACAATAGCAGCAGCAACAACAACAACGACTACGACGACAACGACTACGATTACTACTACGACTACGATACGACTACGGCTACGGCTACGACTCTGATTACGAATAGTTAGCGAACACGACTACTATTACGACTACGACTGCGACTACGAGTACGACTACGACTACTCGGCGACGAATGTGTTGATTTTTTTTGTTGTTTCTCTCTCTCTCTCTCTCTCTCTCTATATATATACGATGCGCAATCATTTTGCAATCGTGCTCGACATTCCTCTGTCGTTCAGGGTAGCCCAAGGAGCACGATTCGCCAGGAGAAAGAACCTCCCGACATTATCCAACACGGCGGACAATAGTGGGAAAGTGATCGGTGGGCCACGTCGTGGGCGCCGACGCCGAAGATGACGAGGAGGAGGAGGAGGAGGACGAGGAAGAGGAGGAGGAGGAGGAAGAGCAGGAGGGGCAGTCGTGTCCGCGTCGAGCTCGCCGCCGCAGGGCCGTCTGGGCCGCGGCCCGCCGCGGGCCTCCGATGGCCGATGGCGGCGGCGACTGATCGCCGCGCGGCGCTGGCTGCGGCCCGTGGGGCCGCGCTGGCGGTGCACGGCGCTGCTGGCCTGGCACGGGGTGCAGCGGCCGCACGGTTGCTGCGCTCCGCCGAAGGCCTTGTTACTTGTTCGAGCCGCGGCGGCTCGAGGCCGAGGTTCGGACGGCCCGCCATACATACGGCCGCGGCTGGTGGAGGAGGGGGTGGTGGCGTTGATGGACCTGCTGTGCCGCCTGGCGCTCCCGCAGCGGCAGCCACGCCGGGTAAGCGGCCACGGCGGCGGCGCCGCCGTGCTTGACTTCACCGAGCGCGCGAAGCGCGGAATGCGCCCATGGTCTCCGCCGACGCCGCCGAGGTGGCTGGCGGTGCAGGCGGCGACGGCGACGGCGTCGGCCTCGAGGACGACGGCTGGGCGGATGGCGTGTCCCGCCCAGCGCCCTCGGCCGATGCGCCCACCGTGGCGCCTGTCGCCGCTGCTGCGGTGCTGGAGGCAGCTGGCGTGGCGCCCCCCACTCGTGAGCCGCCTGGAGCTAGGCCCTAGGCTCGGTGGCGAGGAGGGGGCGCCGACCGGCCCGCGGAGGGTGAGCCTGCGGCGGAGACTGCTGCTGCTGCTGCTGCTGCTTCTGGCGCGGCGGCGGAAGTGGACGGCGGAGAGGCCGCGTTGAAGGCCGCACTCGTCACAGCGTGGGTCGCGACGCCTGGCGCTCGCGTGGCCGCCTTCCAGACCCACTTCGCTAGCTGGCCTGTTGCCCGCCTCCGCGCCTGTCGGGCGTGAAGAAAAGGGCCCTGAAGGAACCCTTCGGGGCCCCTTTTGGGCCCCCGCTGGCTCCAGAACGGGCCCTGAAATGCTCCCTTCAGGGCCCCTCTTCTTTACCCCCCTTTGGGCTGCCCCCTTGTTACCACCCGCCCGATTTCCCAGGCGGCTGAGGCACCCGGCACCACAGCAAGTGGGGGGTGCAACCCCAGACCCCTGACGTCGTGATTTTTTCACAACGTCGACCCCGAAAGGTCTGGGCCCCTTCCCGGGACCGTTTTCTCGTCCTGAGTCTTTTTGTTGAAGGTCCCGAGGCCCGGCGAGGGCCCCCAAGGGCCGAAAACGTCCCCCGCGCAGGGGTGATGATACGTCCCCCGCGCAGGGGCGTCGCCGCCTGCCCCTTCCCCCCTCCCCCCCCACTCACAGGGAGCTCGCCTTCGGTCGGCTCCGCTTCGTGTTCGCCTGGCGGGTGGCCGTCAGAGGTGCGCGACGTACCGTTCGCGTTCGGTCTGGGTCGCAGGAGGAGGAGGAGGAGGAGGAGGAGGAGGAGGAGGAGGAGGAGGAGGAGGAGGAGGAGGGGCGAGCTCATTCCCCATCGAGAGAACCATGGGGGAGAATGACTCAAGACCTCCTGAGGATATGGCGCACCCCACCGACGGCTTTACTTATGGCGCAACCAGTGGTGCAACCCAAAGATGGCGCAACCCATGGCGCAACCCACGGGTGGAGCAATCTACGGCGCAAATCATGGGTGGCGCAACCCACGGCGAACCCCATGGGAGGCGAGCCCCTTGCAATTTCTGCGGGGCTACGCCTGGTTTACGCTCGTCAGGGCTGTCTTTGGGGACCACGCGACGAGCTGTGTTATGATTGTCTGCCCCCCTCTCTCTCTCTCTCTCTTTATTTTCATTTTCTGTGTCTCTCTCTCTCTCTGTCTCTCTCTCTCTCTCTCTGTCTGTATGTCTCTGTCTGTCTTTGTCTGTCTGTCTACCTGTCTGCCTGTCTGTCTGTCTGTCTGCCTGCCTTCCTGCCTGCCTGCCTACCTGTCTGCCTGTCTCTCTCTCTCTCTCTCTCTCTCCCTTTCTGCCTTCCTGTCCCCCCCTCTTTCTCTTGTTTGTTGTCTCTCTCTCTCTCTTTCTATCTTTCTCCCTCTCTCTCTCGCGCTCTCTATTTGTTTCCCTATGTTTCCGTTGTTTGCGTGTTATCTCTCTTTATTTATTTCTTTATTTCTTTCTTTCTTTCTCTCTCTCTCTCTCTCTCTATATATATATGTATATTATATATACAGTATATATCTGTCTCTCTCTCATTCTGGCTCGTGCCATTGGGTGCCCCCTCCTCCAGCTTCCCCATCCCACTCATCCTCATCGTCCCTTCTCCTGCTCGCTCCACACCTCCAAGCGTCATATTCCTACTCCTCCTGGTCTTACTCCCTCCTTCCTCTCATCCCTCCTCCCCCTCTTCTTCCTATTATTCCTCGTCGCCTCTTCTTCCTCCTCCTCCTCCTCCTCCTCCTCTTCCTCCTCCTCCCAACCCTGACATTGCTGCGCTTCCCTCATCGTGCTATCCCTCATCTTCCTCCCCCCTCTCTCCTCCAATTACACAACATGAGTACTACTCTCCTCTCTCCCCTGATGACGTCCGGAAGATGTTTGGCCCCCCTCCGTGTACTGTTTTTTACACACAGGATTCCTGGGAGTTGGGTTTTCGCTGGAGTTTTTGTTTTTTGATGCTGCTCCCGTTGAAACGCTGGCCTCGTTTTCGGGCTTCCGCTCGTTCCGATTCACGCTCCCGCTGCAACGCTGGCCTCTTTTCCGCGCTTCCGCTCGTTCCGAATGTTCCCGCTGCAACGCTGGCCTCATTTCCGCGCTTCTGCTCGTTCCGAATTGTGCTCCCGCTGCAGCGCTGGCGTCATTATTTCCAGTGCCATGCCACGGCATACAATGCAATTCTACATGGTGTTCCACTGTGCGATGCCATGCCTTCAACTGCAATGCTAGGATATGCAATGCTTGACTACGCAATGCCACGCCATGCTATGCCATGCTACGCTTTGATCTTCACCGCCATGCTATGCCATGTTCTGTTATGTGCCGCTGTGCGATGCCATTTGTTGCGTTGCAACGCATTGTGATGCAATTATTCACTACGAAGCGCCACGCCATGCTATGACATACTACGCTCTGCCGTGCTCTTCTACGCCCTACTACGCCGTGCTCGACGATGCATTGCGCACACTCTCGGGATCATTGCCCTGCTCGACGCCATGGTGAGGGATGGGATGAGTGGGGTAGGACGTCAGATATGACGCGAGCGCACCTAGCTTGGTTCACCCCCTCCTCCCCCTCCCCCTCCCCCTCCATCCTCCCTCCCCCGCGCCCCCGGACGCCACGCCCCTCGGACGCCAGGCTGTGGACGGAGGGGGGAAGCTCGTGCGCGGCGCGAGCTGCGGAGGGAGGAGGAATGAGGGAGGGAGACCACCCTCGCCATTCGTCGGAGGAAGAACTGGTACCGATACGGCTACGTTTCCTTCTTCGCCGTTTGGGACCTCCTGGGAGGCCCTCGTCGCCATGGCTGGATTCGCCTCGAAATCCTGGTCAGAACGCACCCCAGGAAGAGGTCCTGGGGGTAGCGGTATCGGTGCCATGCTGTTTCCCCAATTCGAGCACACGCCAACATGGATTACGGATCCGTGGGTCTGGGGCGCGAGCGCCCGATCCACGCATCGGGGAACGCTTTCCCTCCAAGAACACGGAGACAATGCCACCCGAATTGGCGACGGAGTGCGCCGATGCTGCATGGGGGCGGGGCCCGTCGCCGATCCACGCGCCTCAAGACCCGTGTTTTTGCGCTTCTCCTCGAGCCGTGCCCAGGCGCGCCAACGCGCACCACAGCGGCCGGCCCCCCTCAGAAGAAGAAGCCGAGGATCTTCCCGCCCGTGTGCTTCCTGCGGGCCTCCTCCTGGTCCATGATGCCGTAGGGCGTGGTCAGCACGACGTGGCCGAACTGGCGCGACGGCAGGAGGTCGCTCGCAATCTGCTCGATGCCGCCGAGCGCCACGTCGAAGCGGGGCGAGATCACGCCGCACTTGTTGATCCTGTGGGGGGCAACGAGGTTCGAGGTTCGAGGCTCTCGTTGGCCCTCGGCGGCTTCCCAGCCTCGGGATGCCCTCCAGCGGCTTCCTCCTCGTCCTCCTCCTCCTCCTCCGCGTAACGCTCGTTAACCGGGCAAACCCTTCCCCCCCCCCGGGGTAACGCTAGTGATCGTGCCGTGGGGAGGGGGGGCATGGGGAGGGGGGGCATGGCCCTCCCCTACATGCTGGGAACGGACCCCCCGCAGGTACGTATGGTGATGTGCTCACAGGCGTGGCGTGGTCTGAACGGCACGCATTGGTGCTCACAAAAGTGTTGTGGCTGTCGTCGTCGTCATCGTCGTCGTCGTCCTCTTCGTCGTCGTTGTCCAATTCAGCTGGCGATGGCTCAGCTACCGCAGGCTGGGTCGACCATTCTTCCGCAAGTGCAAAATGCGGTGGCTCTCTCTCTTCTTTCTGGCCGGTGCTGGGTTGCAGTGCGATGCAGTCGACGCGCCTGATAAAGACGCGCGCCTTCTCCAGGGTACCCTTGTGTCCTTGCCTCTGCGGCCTGTCCTTTGCCGCTTTCATTGGCCAGCTTTTGCAAAACAAATCCCAACTTCGGCTTCCAAGGGTCTTGCGTCCTTAACACCCGTCCTTAATGCGCGTGTTGATTGTAGACCAAGCGCCATGGAGAAGATGAAGACTGGGCTGCCCCGCGCCTTCTCCCGCGGGCGCTGTGGTGTGCGCTGGCGCTGTGGTTCACGCAGGCAGTGTGGTGCACACCAGCGTTGCGTTGCACACGGCTGCTGCGGTGTACACAGGCGCTGTGGTGTACGCAAGCGCTGTGGTGCACGCAGGCACTGTGGTGTACACCGACGCTGTGTTGCACGCGGCTGCTGTGGTGTACACAGACGTTGTGGTGTACGCAGGCGTTGTGGCGCACGCGTGTAGAATCCTCGAAAGTCCATAAGAATTCTTTCAAAACGTGTACATAAAACGTTCGCTTTCTGTGGAATCCAGAGGCGCCCCAATTTCCACAGGGATTCCTTTATCAAACAAAGGCATCTCCGTGGAATCCAGAGGCGCTCCGCTTTCATAGCGATTCCTTTTCTCGAATCCAGGCGCTCCATTTTCCATAGGGCTTCCTTTAACAATCCTATTAAAAACAATGGTTGTTTGTAGAATCATATTGTAAACAACGGTTGCTGCAGTGTGCACAGGCACTGCGGTGTGCACGGGCGACGTGGTGCTGCAGTGCACGCTGCTGTTGTGGTGTACGGAGGCACTGTGATGTGTACACAGGTGGCGCTGTGTTGCACGCATGCATTGGGCATTGTCGTGTACACTGGCGATCGATGCGCCGGAGGCGCGGACGCACCCTGGCGGCCTGGCGGGCGCACGCCGCGGCCGCCGTTACCGTTACCTTCCCGCCCTCCCCCACCACTGGCCCCCCCTCCCCCCCGTGTAACGGCCGTTACCCGGAAAACCACCTCCTCCTCCTCCTGCGGCTCGCCGAGAGCTCTCTGGGGGTGCCCAGATCATCCCGAACGGCCGCCCGAGACCCGAGAGGCATGACCCGATCCCCACCAATGGACCGGCCCAGGGGGACGAAGCATCGACCTCGAACCCGCGACACCTCGCCGGTAGATCGGCGGCAGGCCCCAGATGGCGAGACCACACGCTCCTTGGCGGGGTGGACCATCGGGCCCCTACTGGCCATGAACGGGCGATCGGGGGTCGGTGCCTTGAGAAGGCCCTGGAAACGACAAGGCCGTTTCTTCACCGGTTCCGTCTTGCCGTTTCTGTTACCTGTTCCGACGCCTTTTTGTCCTTACCGGTTCCGTCGCCGTGTACTACCGGCGGTCCAGCTTCGGTTCCATTCCTGCAGCCTTTTTTTTGCCGTTTCCGGTCGCATTTTTTTTCCGATTTCCATGTTCAAGAATCATTTTTTCGGAAACGGTGAAAAAACAGCCCTGCCGTTTCCGGGGCCCACTAAGATCGGTGCATCCCCACCTGAGCCGCCTGCCCCCCCTCCTTACAATGCCCCGGATCCTGCCGATGAGGTCCACTACCACCTTGCCGGCGCGGTGGTCGTCGATGATCTCCAGGTCGCCGATGTAGCCCTTCTTCTGCATCACCTGCAGGAACTTGATGATCACTTTCGAGTTGGGCCTGACGAGCACCTGGCGCTTCCCGCGCTTCTCCGCATTAACGATTCCGTTCAGGCAGTCACGGAGCACACTGATCTTGACCATTGCGGCTTATGGTGGTCGCGATTGGGCTCCGTTCCCGGCGCTGGCTGGCTTGATGGGCGGTGGCTTGAGCCAAAACGGCTACGGAGGAAGGAGAGGAAGGGTAGGGGGAGGAGCAGGAGGAGGAGGAGAAGGAGGAGGACGAGGAGGAGGAGGAAGAATAGATCGAATCATCACTTCTTCCATGTCAGGTCAAGGGACTGCGCGAGCAGAATACATCCGCCTGCGCTGCCGAAAACTTTGCAGGGCTTCGACCAGAACTGCAAAAACTGTGTAGAAAACAAGCTCTGCGAATTCAGCCGGGCGGCGCAACCCCACCTCGTGCCCCGTCTCAATCACATGACACCTCGCCAAGTGGGCCCGACCCCCAGCACAACCGGCGAGCATGAATCGAGCGCAGCCCTGTAACAACTGGAAAGGGGACACAATCCCACCTCGTGCCCCGTCTCAATCATGAGACACCTCGCCACTTGGGCCCAACCGCCAGCAGGAACGGCGAGCACAAATCGGGCGTGGTCCTGTAGAAGCTGCAAGGTGGCGCGCCAACCGTGAGGTGCGCCATGGGTTGCGCCACCCATGGGTTGCGCCACAGGCTGCGCCATTGGTCGTGATCCGTAGGTTGCGCCATGTGTTGTGCCATCCACGGGTTGCGCCATGCATTGCGCCATCCACGAATGGCGCCGTTCGTTGCGCCACCGATGGGTTGCGTGCTCCATGGTTTGCGCCATCCGAAGGTTGCACTCGGTGACCCAACAGAGAACGACCTGCTCATGGTTGTGGAATCGGTTGCGCACTCGACGGCCGAAGTTAGAACGGCCTGCTTTTCGTTGCGCCATAGATTGCGCACTCGGCGGCTGGAAACCAAGCAGCCTGCTGGAGGCTGCAGCATAGGTTGCGCACTCGGTGGCCGAAATTGAACGGCTTGCTACTGGCTGCGCCAGGCTTGCCCTGCAAGCGGCTTGAACATAGAATCGGCCTGCTCACGGGTTGCGCGCCACAGGTTGCGCACCAGGCGGCCGCAGATGAACGGCCTGCAGGGGGCGTGACCAATCACGCAGTCAGTCTGGCAGTCGCTCGGCAACCAGCATACATCGTGAAACAAAATACGGCTACGGCCGAAAACATGGTGTTTGGTGCGCGTTTTCTTATTCGGCATTTCGACATTGGGCGGAAAGGGAGGGGAGGGACGGGTCTGGCTCCGGACCTCTGCTTGATGCGCCTGTTTGCAGCAGTGCGTCCTGTGGGGGGGGGCTCCACCTGCTCGAAACAGGCGTCCAAAACGGCCAAGATCTACTCTAAGGGTGGGGAGGCGGGGTGCGAAGGCCCGCGCCGATCGGAAAAACAATTCCACCAAAAAAAAAACCCAATCAATGGATGGTTTTCGCTGAAGAGATCGACCCGGAACCCGGGAACCCGGGAACCCCAAACCCACCGAAATCGGCCTGGAACCAAGAACCGGGAATTCGGGAACCCAGAATCGGGAACCCGGGAACCCAGCGTGCGACCAAAATCGGCGGGACACTTTCGCCAAATCTTTCAACTTCCGCGAGGGCCCCTTGAGTACAAGCACTGATTGCTGCGATCGTCGCCCTGCTGAGCTCTCTGTTAGCACAGATAGTATGTAGATAGACCAAAGATATAGCCATGATTATAACCATGCTAATTGGCAACTAAGCTTGCTAACCACTTAGCTAACCATATTAAGTACGCAGCCCACTTAGACCATGGGATGCACACTTAGCCAACCACTTAGCAATAACCCTGCTATCCACATACAACCAACTTACCATGATTAGCCCTATATGCTTAGCATGGTTAGCTAACCAGGTTAGAAAGCGCACTAATCAGGTCTGGATAGAGCTAGCCAGGTTAGCACGCTTAGGTTGTAGGTGTTTTGGGTAGCACATGCTCTCGCATTTTTGTTGCCTGGTTTAATATGTTGTATGATGGCTGTTGCCATTTCAACTGGCAGCTCTAGGTTTTCGGCAAAGTGATTCCAATTTCGAACATTTGTGTTTAGAAGTTCATGGTTCGGGCGTCGCGCGCTGCTCTGAACGCTGGGTCGTTTGCATATGCGGGGGCCATCTAGCAAGGGGCGCGCTGCATCGCGAGTTTTTTCATGCGTGGCATCGAAAGCCTTCAAAGCCCCAGAGACCCACGGGAAAACAGAGCGCCCGCGATGGAAGGCACGCGTGTTCATAGATTTCCACAGGCCGCAGCAGTTTTGTTTTCTGCTGTGGCCTATACTAAAACATTTGTGGTTGCGTACAAATTGGGGGGCGCGTTGCGTGGATGCTGTCTTTTGTGGGGGAGGGGCCATGGGAAAGAAGATCCTTGGGCCAGGGCCCGCGGGGCGGTCATGGTCTTTGGGGTACGTGCTGAAGGAGGTTGTTCTGGCTAGGGTGTCATGATATGCGGGACAGCCTGGTGTCACACATCGAAGCAAGACGGTTATGCTAAAGTTGTCAAGTGGTACCCATGAAATAACAATATGTAAAATTGTATGTTGTGTTGTTTTCTGATTCGCCACCGCTTGTATGCCACGGTCTGCGAGTTAGTTGTGCGTGCTTGGTTCTTGCGGGCGTGGCGCATTGGCCAACGCAAGAGCAACGAGGTCAATCTCGCTGGTTTAAACATATAATTGCGTGTGGTATGTTTTTGCTTAGTTGGTGCGCATATAGCGCGCAAGCTAGACGTTCCCCAACAATGTGTTGCCACGGCTGAATCGGCGCAATTGCTGCTGAGTATGCCGAGACACCGAACATACGCACGTCATAGTGGAACAACATCGGCGCAGGTTTTTAATATAAACCAACAGGTGCAATACACCACTGCAGAAACATATGAACCAAGACTGCCAATACCAATGAATGCAGAAGAGTCCCTCTTCTTGGAGAGGCCTCGGGGTCAGAGCAAACATGAGCTCGACCCTGCATGCCCCGCGCTGAATTTACTATCACGTGCGTCAAGATATCGTATTAGGCGAGCCGTTCTTATAGTGTGTGTAGATTTACTTGTGCATACACCGCTTGTCATCATGTCATAGCAGCAAATGCATGCATAAATGCCAGTGCACGTACTTGCCTAGGGCGCAGAGCAGAGCTCGCGCCGTTCACGGGTGCACCGCTCCCCAAGATCCTGTTAAATGGGCACGGTGTCCCAAGCAGCGGGGGGCCATGCTCATATAGGCCGCAGTATTCCTTACTGAGGGCATCATTCCAAGCACCCGTTGCGTTCGCGTCCCCTGAACTGTTCGAGTTCAGAGATCCATGCGCGCGTCCCACTTGCACATGTACCGTGCATGCTGTTGATTGTGCCTTTTTATCTTGTTATTTTCGAATATTCTCGAAGATGTCAGACGAACCGTTCAAAGTTGCCCTTGAAAGGTTTGGCGCCACGTCTTGGAATGAAGAAATGACGAGCATGCTCAGTGCTTCATCTCAGGACGCAACGATTAAGTCGGAGGCAGATGCGCTCATCTCTTCACTGCCTGCACATGATCTGGCTTATGAAGAGTGGCTGACAGCAGACAAAGTGTGCCCTCATGTCAACAATCGTTTCAAATCGATCCAGTTGCCTGCGGCAGATCCCGCCACCGTGCCCGCGCAATAATCGCGGAGGCCTTTTGGCGAGGCCATCTCTCCCCCCTCCCCCCATCCCTTCCTCCTCCTCCTCTTCCTCCTCCCCCTCATCCATCATGCCTTTTCCCCGATTCGCCCCTCCTCGCTCCTGCCGGCTCCCTCAGCCCCCACCCCTCCCTTCTCACTTCTCTCCTTCCACCTTCTCCATGGACCCCCTCATTCCTCGTGCAAGTACAGAGAAAACAAGGATCACGCCCGCAGCTTCCCGCAGCGAAGTTTAAGATGGAAGTCGGTGCAAGATGCGCCGTTGTGTCCCCTGTGGCGTGCGTCCGTCTCTGCGCTTCCCTGTGGTAGGCGTCTCTGGTGGAAAACGCCCTATATAACCACCTGCGCCCATAGGGCTGGTGGCGTTGCAGTGCATTGCAGGGTGTTTGCAGGGCCATTGCAATGCATTCGCTGCTCTTTGGGGGGGGGGAGGGGGGGGCATGTGAAACCTCCGCCTTAGGCCGCACATCAAAAGAGAGGGGGGGGATACATTCACATCGCCCTATCGAGGCTCAAATGCCGTTTTGGGCACATCTTGGACTGCTCTTGGAGCGCTCGTGGGCGCGCTTGGGGTTGGGCGTCTCTCGGGCCTCTCGAGGGTCATCCTGGGGCAATCTTGAGGCTGCAAGAGCGCATCGGAAGCGAAAAGGCGACAAGGCAAAACACAAAGGTTCTCTAGGTTTGGGAGCCATTTGGGCTTCTTGAGGGGGCCCCCGATGGCATTTGGAAGCGTCTTGGGGCCGTCTTGGAGCCTGGATGTGCGTCGGGGGCTTTCTTGAGCCAACTTGAGGCACGTTGGGCCATCTTGGAGGCATGGGTTCTCTGAGGCCATCTTGGAACCATCTTGACCCCAAACGGACAGCCTGCCAACTCGCGGCACTCCCCGCCCAGAGGCTGGGAGGGCGGTGGGGATGTAAACCTCCCTCCGAACAGGGAAAGGTTGGACAATGAAACGCGCTAAACCACCTTCGCCCAGAGGGCTGGTGGGATTTGCAGAAGTTGTGAAAACGTCTCATGCGAAACGCAGCTGCGATCGCTGCCCAGCTCGGCGAGGGCGAGGAGGTCGTGCCTACCAGACAGCGCGCACAAGCTTGCACGCCTCACAGTGGGGGCACGGTTGCGGATCATTGATCCGCCACACGCTCGCTTGGTTGGCAAGAACATTGCGTCAGACGGTTGGAGTTGGCACGAGGTGCAGGGCAAGGCTCGCGCCATCGAGCGACCTCCTTGTTCGGCGGCCAAGGCTGATCTTGACAAGGTGCAAGAAACCATCGCAAATTGTGGCGGAACCCTCGGCGATATCAAACCGCACGGCATCAGGGCTTTCACGGTACGTTGTTCCCACACGATAGCATGGATCTGGGCCGTGGAGAGCGGCGCGATTCCGACGACGGATTCGGCTCAGTTTGCAATCAACGGGAAGCTCAGTAAAGACAGGTTGTGCGAGTTGTCACCATCGATGTGCCAGCCTTTGAGAAAGGGTTGCCTTCTGTCATAGCCAGGCACGAAGTATCCCAGGCATGTCCGTTGATCGCCGCGTTCCTTCAGGAAGTGGGCAACATGGTCAATCGGATCAGGAAGGACACATCGATCATTTGCACGAGCGGGCCGTGACGAATATACAGTTACAGGGCAAGCCGACTTGGGAAGGGATCATCAAACAACTGGTGGGATTACGGACCGACCTTGCAGAACACATGCCGCATATTTGTAAGTTTGCTGAGAAATGGGCTGGCGGAGCCGATCCCATCCATCCCAAAGAGTTGGACACGTTTGGTAAACAACTCAAAGTCTTGACGCTTAGCGTGCCACCCGCCAACCCATCTAGAACCGATGCGTGTGTGAGCAGGGGTGCTGATGACGCAGAATACCGCGAGTCGAGAGACACCGCGAGGGTCAGTAGGGAGATATGAGGAAAAGGAGGAGGATGAGGAAGGTGCGGAAGAAGAGGTGAGGCGAAAGGCGGTGAGAAGAGAACAAGGGAAACGGAGCGACAGGGAGGACCGTGAGGAGCAGGAGGAGGAGGAGAAATCTATGTATACTATGGGGGGGTAGGGGGAATGCAAGGGTGAGGAGAAGGACGATACTGCGTGCATATTAAGATGGAGGACGTGGTGGGAGATAATATCGATGTTGCACGAAGTGGGTCATAGGGATCAGGAGGAGGGGGAAGCAGCGGAACTGGAAGAGGAGGACCGGACGGGCAGGAGGGGCAGACACATATCCGAGCCTCTTGGGCAGTATTGTGGGAGCGTGGCGGATGCTTCGTGGAGCGTCTTGGGCGCCTCTTGGCTGTCTCTGGCGGTGGAGGGGGAAGGGGGGGGGGGCTGCGCTTGCTGGAGAGTGGAGCGAGCGGCCACAGGAAGGTCCCCAGTACGAGAGTCTGACCATTCGGTGCACCCTGCCCCGCCTGCGGGGGAACGCTACGGTCGGGCGTTGACCCAAGGAACCCTAAATAGGGAACGAGGCCCCCTTTCTCCCTTTAGTCAAACTTCGATTTTCCCATCGAGACCTAAGGACAAGTTAAAGGAACATGCGAAACGATCAAGGAACACGGGGGGAACCAGCTCAGGTAACAGAAGCATCGATGCGGAATCGGCGTTGCATGACCGATGGATCGGCGACAGGCCCACGGTGCTCCTGCTTGCGTAGCGCGTAGAGTTAAGAGGTGCAACTACAGTTCTCGTTAAGCGTTAAGAGTAAGAAGAGAATTAATGAGTTAAGCGTTTTCTTAAGCAGCAGTCCAGGTCCACATGCACGAGCATCCTCTGCAAGGAAAGGGAGCTCAGGAGCAGGAGGGGGGCCCATTCACTGAAGGGGAAGTGTCGGAATGCGTGCCGCCCAAGCCTGAGCCGAGAGGGCTTGCGGATTCCAGCGCCACCTGTCGGCAAGCTTCGTTTATTCAAGGACCTCCCATTTGCCAAGATGTCAAGTTGGATCTTCATGTGCCTTAAAGCGTGCCAGGCGGCGCCAGAGAATTTCGTCCTCAAAGGCGAATGCAAATGATCCCAGTGCGACCCTACCTAGGAGTTGGAGCATTTATGAACGCAACATCTACATCTACACCGACAGCTACATTTACATCTACACCTGCATATACATCAACATGCTATGCTATGCTATACTATGCTGCGCTGTGCTATGCTAAGCAATGATATGCTATGCTATGCTATGCTATGCTGCGCTATGTTATGCTATGATATGCTATGATATGATATGATGAGCTAAGTATGCTATGCTATGCTATGATATGATTGGCTATGCTATGCTATGGTATGCTATGTGCTAATGCTGCGCTGCGCTAAGCTAAGGTAAGCTAAGCTATGCTAAGTTAAGCTAAGCTCAAGCTAAGCTAAGCTAGGCTAAGCTAAGCTAAGCCAAGCTAAGCTAAGCTAATATGAGATGAGATAAGCTAAGCTGAGCTAAGCCAAGCCAGGCTAGGCTAGGCTAGGCAAAGCTAAGCCAAACTAAGCTAAGCTAAGCTAAACTAAACTAAGATGAGATAAGAAGCGCTAAGCTAAGCTTAGCTTAGCTTAGCTAAGCTGGGTGAACCCAGGGGACGCAACTGGGGGAACCGCGGGGCGGGGACCGGGGGAACCGCCCGGGGCGTGTAGCACTGCCCGGCCCCTTTAAGCTAAGAGAGTAAGAACCCTTCTAGGCAGAGCCTAGGTAGGGAACTTTTCGGGACCATCGACGTGCAATCGATGACTGGTAGGTTGATGCCGCATGTCACAGAAGCAGTTGAAAGGCACAAGACAGGTAGAGACTGGTTGACCAACCTTCGCGTCGATGAGGGAACATTAGTGAAGCAGTCAGGTGAATTCGCAGTCAAGCTAGTCATGCACGTATGCAGCAAAAAATCAAAGACTCGTGCGCAGTTCAAGTCAATCGACGCGGTGTGTGATGATTTCGTTCTGCGTGGGATCGATGCGGTGAAGAAACCCAAAGTTGAGCCGCCTTGGAGGACCACCGCCAGTGCCCATGACAAATCTGGCCCAGCATTTCGTGAGTTCTCAGACAATGTAATCAGTCCGTCTTCTCTGGCAACTATGGGTTTCGTTCCGGATGTCTTTGTTGTGATCACCAGCGACAGCAACAGCGATCTCTATAAGTTCGAGTCCGTGGGCGAGCAATGCGTTCTGGTGTCGGCGAAGGGCTGCGGCAAGATCCCCGTGAAGGTCACGGTGTCAGCCGCCGAACTGGCCGACCGCTGGTCCATCAAACAAGCTTCGCAAGAGATCATCGTTCACACGGGAGACATGATATCGCCGCATGCCCACGCCGACAACACGTTGGAATGCGCCAAGGCAATTGCGAGGATTGCGCTGGAGACAGCGTTTTGCCAGCACAACTTGGACGCGTTCAATGGTGGAGGGGGAGGTTTTGAAGTGCACTTGAAATCAAAAAAGTCAGTTGTCGTCAAGTCTGCCTATGCAAAAGGCAAGTTGATGCTGGTCCCTTTCTCGACTTCAATTTCGGCCCTCTCCAAAGACGGCGGGGCTGGCTCGGTGTGCTTGGGTTGCCCCAATGATCCCAATGGGAAGATTCGCATCTTTGTTTCGCAGCGTTGCGACTACGCAAACGATGCGGAGAAGGCATCGGGCTGTCATTCCAAGGAGGTGGTGCCGTTCGTGGTGCCGTTCTGGTGCGTGAAGCCCGAGGCAGACAGTGCATCTGCCAACATGAGCGTCAGCCACGTTCGCATCAAAGTCGCGACTGCGTCTGCGCTCACTGACGATGCAGGCGTCGTCGTGGACATCCCAGTGCTCACGAACTCGTGTAACTTGAAATCTGGAGATCAGTTGAAGGTGTTTGATCAGGAACGGGCAGCATGTAACAAGATCCCTACCAAGAAGAGGGGCAACAGTGCCCCTGGAGGCACGACAAAGAAGTCGCGTTAGACGGGTTGATGCGAATCTCAATGTGATTTCGACGCTGTGGTCAACTCATTTACATATATTCGTTTGGTTCCATCGTGCGGTCCATACCCTGAGTTATTTTCGTAAGTATTGTGGCCAAGCCATTCCATATTTCATACCGCGAGTCATTCCCACACCTGCTGGAGCCAATGCAGTTGTGCGCAGGTTGATTTCACATACTCCATGTATTAAGCTGGGGGTGACGTCGCGCGCGCCCCCAGCACGGAAAAAAGCAGCAGTCCCTCGGGAAAGCATCGAGAACATGGCGGGAGGGCGATGGGCAGCTTGAGAGCTTGGGGGGCGTGGGCGGAGACTCGAGCGCCGAGCATTGCGTCCGAAATTTCTCGACGCTCCGGCGGCAGGTTCTGATTCCGGGCTCGGCCGCTGTGCTATTAGGCTTGCGCGTTGCTAATTTGACAGGCCCGTGGCCCGGACCTCTCAGCTCGGCGACTGCGAATTCGCGTCCGCCCGCGACCCCAAAAAAATATCCACACCAATCTTACCGACCCGCCGCCTGCGCCTTCGCTTGCGGCCGCGACCAAAAACTATCCCCACCAGCCGGCCACCCTGGTACTTCGCAGCTTGCTAATGTACTTGCCCAGTCTGGGCTCCCAATTCGACCTCCGACCGTCGGTTTACTTGGCTGCGGCCACCCTGATACTTTCGCAGTAGTCCGGGGGCTTGCGCCCTTGCAACTAATTCCCGTCTGCAGCTTTCCCTGGTTGCCGGTTACCCTGGCCGCCCGCTGCCTCCGACTCGTTGCACGCGACCCCAGCAGTACTGGTGATCCGCCTACCGCCTGGCCTTTCCACTCGACGGCCCGCCGCTGAGGTGCTGCGTGAGGCTCTGGCTCACCGCTTTAGGTTAATTCGTCTGTGCGCGCCCCGCTCTGACTGGACTCGCCGCTGGCGCGCTCGCCTGCGGCCGCTGACAAAAAGTATTCCCACCAGCTTCCTCTCCCTACGGGGCTTTGGTGTGCGACTTTGCTGGCGCCACCACCAGCACTCCCCAGACCGTGGCGGGCATCCGGGGCCTAACACCGTGTTGCCCCACCCTGGTCGCACCGTGGTGCCCTTGTGCGCCATTTTGGCTGCGCTTCAGCCTCGATTGGCCAATTCACTCGCACGCAATTCGTTTCTTGGTGGTTTTTGGCCCCCGGCTCAGGCCATCCTGGCAGCCTCTCCAGTCACAGCGGTTGTCCACGTTTTGCATTCAATTCATTAGCAGCTTGCAGGCCCTGGCAGTTGATTGCCCTGGCAGTCAGCTCCTGCAGCTCGTTGCACGTCTGCAGCGCCTGGCAGCGTTGCAGCCCCGCTTCCTCTTCGGCGACTTCCTGGTCCCGTTCTGAGTGGCAGTGTTTGGCCTGCTTCTGCTTGGTTAATTAGCCGCTCGCGCGGCCCGCCGGGACTTTGACTCGCCGCTGTTGCGCTCTCGCCTGCGGCTGCCGACAAAAAACATATCCCCACCAGCTTACTCGCCGTTGGCGCGCTCGCCTTCGGCTGCTAACAAAAAAGAGTATCCCCACCAGCCCATCCTACACCAGGCTCTCGAACGAAGAGCGCCGACCATCGGCAGCTGTTCTCCTCCTCCTCCTCCTCCTCCTCCTCCTCCTCCTTATCCTCCTCCTCGCACTCCTCTTGCTCCTGATGGTGGCGTCTTGGAGCTCTCTTGGGGCGTTTGGGCGGGCTCTTTGGCCCTGCGGGCGGGCGCGCGGCGGCCCGCCCGCCCACGCGCAAGGCCCAAGAGGAAGGTCCAAGACGTCTCTCGAGGCCCTTGTCGAGAACATCGATCACGGAAGGGGGGGGAGCTTCAATTAGCAAGTCGCCTCTTGGAGCGCTCTTGGGGCGCTCTTGGAGCGCTCTTGGGCGCTCCTGGGACCGTCTCGAGGCTCTCTTGGGACACTGTTGGGGCTATATTGGGCGATATTGGAGCTATGTTGAAGCCTCGGATTGGCATTGTAAGCGCAAAGGCGATAACGCCAAAAGCATTGATTTCCCAAGGGTGCAATTTAAGTAGTTCGCTCTATGTTACGCTATATGTGTGGTGCAGCACATGTTGTGCAAATAATTTCTGTTCGCAATGAGTTGTCCACTCCACTGCTCGCGCAAACATCCCACCCACCCACCCGCAACTTGGTTTGCAAAATCTTATAAGACCGTGACGGTGGGTACCAAATGGCACTTGGCAACGACAGCGACGCCGACGACGACAGCGACAACGACGACGACGCCGCCGACAACGACTACGACGACACCGACGACGTCTCCAACGACTTCGACGACGCCGACAACGACGACGACGACGACACCGACGACGACGACGACGCCGACGCCGACGACGACGACGATGACAACGACGACGACGACGATGACGACGCCGACGACGACGACAACAACGACGACGACACCGACGACGACGACGTCAACGACGCCGACGACGACGACGGCGGCGACGACGACGACTCCGACGTCGACGACGACGAAGACGACGTCGACGACGACGAAGACGACGATACCGACGCCGACGATGACGACGAAGACGACGACGACGTCGCCAACGAAGACGACGACGAGGGAGGAGGGAGGACGACGACGGCGACAACGACGACAACGACGACAACGACGAGAGAGAGGGAGGACGGCGACGACGCGAACGACGAAGGAGGAAGGACGGCGACGCCGACGATGACAACGACGAGGGAGGAGGGAAGACGACGACGACGACGACAACGACGACGACGCAAGAACGCGCGCGCACGCTTTTGTTGAAAATCCGTATTGCGAAACCTTGTGTGTTTGTAGGTTTGTTGGTCACACGCTTTTGAAATCCTTTCGAAACCGATGGGTTATGAAGGATTTCGGCATACGCGCGCGACGACGCGCGCGTCTGCACTTCCACTTTTTGCAGAGGATTCTCGCGACGGCACACGCGCAAGGGCGTTCGACAGATTTCGACATGCGCGCGCGAAACCCGTTTGGTTGTATTTTCAAACAATTTGAAAAACCTATGGTTTCTTAAGATTTCGCACGAGCTCGCGCGTAAGTTATTTTAGCAAATCTGTGTTGCGAAACCTTTTGTGTTCGTAGTTGTTTGGGGAAATTCGATTGCGACATCCTTCCGACACCGAAAGTTTTTGAAGGATTTCGGCATGGGCGCGCGACGACGCGCGCGTGTGCACTTCGTCCCAGCTTTTTGCAAGGGATTCGCGAAAAACGTCGGATGCTAGGACAAAAGATGTCCCCGCGTATTGTTTTTTACAATGGAACCTCAGGGGGGGCGATACTGGCCTCCCTGGGATAGTGTAAATTCATATTTCGGATGGACATGCGGCCAGAATCATTTATGATTTACGTACCCGAAAAAGGGGCTGATAACGCCGGGGGGGGTAGAGTCTATTAGAAAGGAGAATATATGTGATGCTACCCGTGCGGCGCAACCTTTTCGAACAGTCTATGCTGTGCAATCTATACAGTGCAAGCTAGATGGTGCAACTGATTTTTACAAATATGTTAGCAAGTTCAATGTTTTTGTGATGAGTGCGGCGTTGGTTTGCGAAACCCACGCGGCGGCGATTGCGATGAGTGCTTGGCGTTGGCTGGTGCATATCTGCGGCCGCGCTAGCGCGCGCATGCTCGCGCGCACATTGGTCAGCCAGTTTGGCGTGGCCGACGCGGCCGCGGTGGCGCTGACCGCATGGCGCTTCCCAGCGGGCATTTCAATGACTTGGGCGGGCGCGGTATCATGGCGACGCTGACAACGGTAGACGCGAGTATAAGAGTATCGATGGTGACGAAGGTGGCGCTGACGACGGCAAGGCCAATGACGGCGCCGATGTTGATCACGCCCGCCGATAACGATGACGATGCCCTCGCGTCGGCGATGAAGGTTTTGGAAAAAGTCCAACATGCGCGCGCGGCCGACGCGCGCGAATGGCCCAGCACGCGCGCAAGGGCGTTCAAATGAGTTCGACATGCGGCGCGAGAGGCCATTGTAGCAGAATGTGATGAAAATGTTGGGAAACCGATGTGTTGCTTAAGAATCCGCACGAGCGCGAGCGCAGTTTTTTTCTTTGTTTGAAAACCGATGTTGCAAAACCTTGTGTTTCTATGTGTTCGGGACACTCGGTTTTTAACTCCTCACGAGATCGAGCATTTTGAAGCATTGCACCCTGAAGGTATTGGTCAGCGTCCAGCGAGCAGCTGTGGAGTCGTGGCCGATGCCGGGCTGGCGGCTGGATGATCCTGACGCGGACCTGTCCTGCTTCGCGCGGCCGATCCTGCGGGGGCCCCCCCGCTGAGGCCAGTCGGCCTGGAGCGGGCAAGCGCTGCTGGCCGGCATGCGCGCGCGACGACGCGCGCGTGCGCACTTCGTCCCGTTTTTGTTGCCAGGCATTCTTGCGACAGCACGCGCGCAAGGGCGTTCGAACGATTTCGACACGCGCGCGCGAATGGCCAACTTGGAAGCATGTTTGCGAGCATGTTGAAAAACCGATGGATCTTTTAAGAATCAGCAAGAGCGCGAGCGCAAACTCTTATTGAACATTCTTGTTGCAAAACCATGTGTTTTTTTTCGTGAGTCTCGATTTTGAAATCCTCACGGCACCAGAAACTGCTTGAAGGATTCCCGCATGCGCGCGCGACGACGCGCGCGTGTGCATTTCGTCTCGTTTGTTGCAGCGGATTCTTGAAAACAAATGATTTTTGATAAACAGTGCGCGCATAGCATTCGCAGAGAATGAAGGGAGGGTCTGGCCTAGCTGGAATGGTACGAATTCATATTCAGGATGGGCGAGGGGTCAGGACCATATACGAATACACAAGCGGAACCAGCAACCGATAAGTCCGGGGGGGATGGGGAAGAGAATCTAATCTCTTTTCAGGAATGAAAATCTGTGTGGCGGCGACGGCGGCGGCAACGGCGGGCACACAGCCGCCAGACCGCCAGCTAACCCCAGACGACGGGCGGCGACGAGGCGGCGATGGGGCCGCGACGGCGAGCACATAGCCGCCAGACCGCCAGCGGGGCCCAGACGACGGGCGGCGACAAAGCGGCGACGGGGCGGCGAGGGCGAGCACGGAACCGCCAGACCGCCAGCCGCGCCCAGTTCCTTCGAAGAGAAGCATGAGCCCCTAAGTGCAGGCACTGTTTGGGGAACATGTGTCTCCGAACCCCGACCCTCGACTCTCTGTCCTCGGCCGACGACAAGCGGCAACGACAAGGAGGGAGGAGGGAGGAGGGAGGACGACGAAACCGCCGAGCCTGCGGGGAGAAGCTCGCGCAGAGCGCCAGCTTGAACAAGGCGAGGCCCCGCTCATCGAGAGCGCAGGGCCCCGTGCCGACCCCGTCGAAGCCGTACGCCTGGAAGAGGAGGACGAGGAGGAGCAGGAGGAGTTTCTAGGCAGGCCTGGGCGGTTAAGGTGGCTTTGTAGAGGGAAAGAGAGAGAGAGAGAGAGAGAGAAAGAGAGAGAGAGAGAGAGACAAAGAAAGAGAGAGAGAGGGAGAAGCAAAAGGGAGAGAGACCAGATGGGAAGGAGGCATAGAGGCATACAGACAAGATAAACAGAGGATGGGAGGGTGATAGTATGGAAATGGAAAGAGGGATATACATATACGTATGTATGTATATATATATATATATGTGAGCGTTCCTTTTCTCGAGGCCAGAAGATGCCAAGACAACTCTCCAGTAGCAACGTGCCCGGCAGCCGGGACGCGAACAAATGGAGGCCGCCAAGAGAAAGGTGCACACTCGGCGGCTCCAACCTCTCCGAAACCTCTGTGCAGATCTGCAGGGAGGGAGCTTTAAAGCAGGGAGGGCGCTTGAGCCAACAAGGTCACGGAAACAACACTCAGACGTGATGCAAGCCAGCGACCTTCACGGCGGCCCAAACCCGAGACAGAAGCTAACAAAGACGTGTTAAACACTAGGCATGTGAGCGTTCCTTTTCTCGAGGCCAGAGGATGCCATGACAACTCTCTAGTAGCAACGTGCCCGGCAGCCGGGACGCGAACAGATGGAGGCCGCCAAGAGAAAGGTGCACACTAGGCGGCTCCAACCTCTCCGAACTTGCTCCAAAGCACCATCTGGCCGCAGGCCTCATATCTTACCGAATGGCTTACAGGGCGGGCGGAAAATGCTGTCAGCAAAAGCGCGGACAAACGCGGCGCAGAGCTGGGGAGGGTAAGGCTCTGCTAGCTTACTGAACTTGACACCGCTCGGATGGTTGCCGATGATTTCAACCTGCTTTTTGCAAGAGAAAGAGCACACACCGCGGCAAGAACATGTGACATTGATATGCTTACATGAGACGTGGGCACAGAGAAGCTTCGTGCGCTTGCGCCACGGAGCGCCCCAGGCGCATTAGTCTGTGACACAAGTTTCTATACAGGAGCTTCGCGCGAGGACCTCGAAAGCTCTGACATTCCAAAGCAGGCTCGTGTGAGGATTTTCTACCGCGCACGGCACACTGAGTCTTCGGCACAGATCTAAAACACTGGAGGCAACTCTGCATAAACGATTGGCCATTTTGACTATACGCTGATCGGCAGGCGAGAGAGATGGGAGGCCGAGAAGGAAGGCACGCGACCGAACCGGCGAGAAAAGGCATCGGAGTGCCGACAAAGAAGAGCACGGCGGCGCTAGCCAGATCGCCGCGATCAAGCCGGCGCGAACCCATCCGCGAATTTTTCAGACGAGGCTCTCATTTAGCAAGTCAAAGTGCGGGCCAGGTCGAATGTCGATCTCGAAAATCTGAATGTTCTGCAAAGCTACAGCTCGCCGCCATGCTCGAGCAAGGCGGCCTGAACCAGAAAAGATCTCTAGAGCAAAATGTTGCCCCGTCACAGCTGCCTGGCGGGCGGCGGCCTCAAGATTTGCGAGCTGGCGCGGGCGGCGGCAGAGTGAGCCTGGCGCTGCGCGGCGCACGAGCCCACGCGGCTGTCGGATGCCTGTTGCCCACGCTTCTTGATCTCGGCGAGAGGGCGGGCGTGGGCGGCCAGCTCGCGGATCGCCCCGCTGTGTCGGAGCTGGCACGGCGTGAGAGGCCCCAGGCTGCCGAGGCCCTTGTCTACCGCGGCCAGGAAGAACAGGGCGGCCCAGCTCGAGCACTTCAGGTCGAGCAGAGGCGGCGTTGCGCCGCGGTCGGCCCAGACCCGCGACAGCAGGCCTCCCACCCGACCGAGCACCGTGTTGTCGTGGCTCAGCGGCTCGCCGAGCCCGCCCGTCCTTGGCGGTGTGCTGTGCTCCGACTCGAACCGCGGCAGGGTCCACATCGCCAGAGCTCGGGGCCCCTTCGGCGACAGGTCCTGCTGACAGCACGCGAGGGCCACTAGGAGGAAGGTGACCACCGACCGCAGGTAGCCCTGGAGGAACAGCGCGTGAAGGTAGGCCGTCACCGTCGAGACGAGCTGGGTGGTGCTGTCGATCACCCAGCTGGCTGCCGCACACCACAGGCAAAGCTGAGCCACAACGTGCTTGCACCGAGCTTCCTGATGCTTCTTCACGATGCGCCTCCCAAGCAAGAACGGGCCGATCTCGTCGACCGTCGACCCCGTCACGTAGTCCTGGTGGCGGCGAGCAGTGGTATCGGCTCGCAGGCCTGGCTCGAGGCCGCTGGGCGATGCCAACGGTTGTGCCACGGGCTGCTTGCGGCACCTCCGAGCTGTCGAAGGCCTCGCTGCTGGCGGCCGCGACAGGGGCATCAGCGGGGCAGAAGTCGACGCCAAAGGCCCGTCCGAGCCTGGCTGCAAAGGCGCGGACGCGGCTGCCCCGCTGGCCGCAGGCGTCCCCGTTCAGCGGAGCATGTCGCGGCCTGGGCAGGACAACAGCCGGAGGGTCGGGCGCACGGGGCTTGGCTGACGCTTCGGCCCAGTCACCCTGCCTGCGCCTTGAGCCCCGATCTGCAGGATTGTGCTCTGAAGGGAGCCACCGCCAGCGAGAAGTCATGTTGAAGGCAAGGTTGAGACCACCGATCTGACGACAGACTCGCATCAACCGCGAGGATGAACGGCCCTTGGACACGGCAAGGATGCTGGCCATGGCGTCACCCAAGTACAAGTGGCGCTTCCCGAAATTCGCCATGGCACGTGTCTTGCGGAGATGAGCTAGGACCATGCCACGGCCCTCGAGGAACACCTGGGCCTCCGAGCGGGCCCACCGTCTCACCAAGACCCGCCGCCATTCGCCGTCCCATATACTCGAGTCAATGTCGATCTTATCCTCTGGAACCTCGGGGGCGGGCCCGTATATGTCGAAGCCTCCTAGAAGGACGAGCGAGAGAGCATGATCTCGAGGTCGATAACCCAATTAATCTTCACGAGAAAATCTCCACCTCTCATTAAATCGACCGAGCGACTTGACAGTACTGACGTCCACCTTCTGCTGCACGATACACCCTCCCCAAGATGACGCATCGACAGCGAGAACCCCCTGAGACCAAGCAGCCCCAAGATTTTGGGATGCGAGAAAGATGAGCCCAGCGGGCCAGCCCAGCTCACGTCGAACAGAGCCCCAAAGACGGCGGCGATGAGGACCAGCGCCAGCTGCAAAAGAGTAACAGGCCGAGAAAACGCACAACAGCTCGCGGCGGATGAGAGCACGCGTCGTGTAATGAGACATGATAACCGTCAGGGTCTCCCCACTGACATACCCCTCCTTGAGGATCTCTGAATAGCCAATCTGATATTCCAGACGATGCGAGGACTCAGGCCAACTGCAGCGTTTTCATCGGAGAAGGTCCACCCTAGAGCCGTCGCGCCAGGACCCGACTCCACTGGATGCGTGGGAAGATCCACCCCACTCAACTCCTGCTGTACCTCCTCAGCCACGCCCCTGACAACCTCCCGATCCTTCCCGAAGGCGAAAAAGTTATCAACATACTCGGTGTGTGCGAAAGGCTCCAGACACAGAGGGGGGAGATGATCGACGACGGCATTGCTTTCAGTCACGCCACGAACCCTCCTGGCTCGATACTCAAGTACTTGTTGGCAGGCCCAGAGAGAAAGCTTCCAGCCCATCGGGATCACCTTCAGGACTGGCAGAAGGTATTGGCCCCGTCTGACAGCGCGGCCTTGGGCCGTCCGGACATTCACCAGGTCGGCTCGAACCCTCGGGAGGACGAACATGTCACGAAGAGCTTCGGGGAATTGCATGTTGTAAAAAGCGTTTACGATATCGACCGAGCCGACCTGGATGGGAGCCGCACTGTCAACCTCTATGGCCGAGAAGGCAGCCCCCGACGCCAGCGCCACGGGGTCGCTATCACGAAAACGGCAAGGTGGTAGCCTACCATCGACTATCAAGCGGTACTTCCCTGACTTCTTATAAACGAAGAACAAGCCGCACGAGACCTCACCCGACAGGTGCCACTCGATCAGGTCGCAATCGGCCAGCCTACGCAGCAACTCCGCGTAGAGGGCGGGCGACCGTCTGAGGGCGGGGTCCGAGTAAGGCCGGGCAGGTCCCTCGCGCTTAGCTATCTCCCTGTCAGTAGTTTCTGGCAAGCGCAATTGAATTAACCGCTCAGCAATCTCTTTGCCCCGATCACCAGCCAGATGCTCGAGAGACCGCGAAACAGATCCAGCCGCTGGTAGGTCGACCAGGTGGACGGAGTCCATGCTGAGGGGAGCAATCACGGCGCCGTCGCCGTAAGCACTCTTTGCCCGAAGCGCTCGAAGGGCTCCTGGGCCGTTCAGATCGTCCGGCGGCGGCCCCACCGAGATGACCGACTAGCGAATCATGTTGAGACTGGCCTGCTGGCTAGCGGTGGGGCCCTGGGTCTTCCGGGGACAAGATGAACCAAGATACAAATCATTCAAAGCACCGGTGACCTCGTCACACACCTCGTCAACGTGGATGGTAAGAAGCAGCTGGCGTCGGGTAGACCTGCCACTGTGTACAGCAGTTCCTCTGAAACCCCGATGCAAAACTGAGGTGGGTCGAGGGAGAGGCAATAAGTTACGCTGCCGCTCCTCCGCCCAGAAAGGATGACTGTGAGCAGAATGCCTTCCCGGTGCAAGTCCAGGAGGCCCTCCCTGAAAGGCGTGTTCGCGATGGGGCTGGTCGGGAGGTCGGTCCAGCCCCGGTAGGGTAAGCATCACCCCTGCTCCTGATGTCCGTCCTCTCCCTGCTTCACGAGCTCCACCGCCTCCTCGTAGGCCTTGCTGACCGGCATGAGGATCGCTGCGTGGCGCTCGACCTTGCCAGGCTCGCGGGTGATGGGGTCCAGGTGGACCATCGTCACCCTCGAGTCCTTGGTCGCCCCCAAGAAAATGGTGGCCTCATCGAGCACCGCGAGCCGCAACGAGGATGAGATCCTCTTGTTCTTGCCCTTCGGCCCCAAGAGGGGTGGGGCCACGAAGTCCATGTGGTATACGCACTCAGCCACAGCGCCCTCCCGAGAAGGCGCTCGATCGTGGCACTGTTGCTGACGTCAATAATGTTGCAGTGGAAGTCCTCATCCCAGCAAAGCAAGGCAGTGTCGTGGACTACCCCGCCCCAGTCACCGATCCGTATGCCGTCGGTCATGAGGAGCGAGCGGTGATGCCTGAGAAGCCCTCCGTGTCGGTGAGAGAACCAGCTGCAGCACCACGGGGTGGGCCTGGGCCCGAGCATGGGCCAGTCTCGGGAGGGTGACCCCGCAGCTGAACATCTGATACGACGATGCGACCCCTGAGACGATCCCGTGACACCAAGATCGTGGCCACGATGGCCCTCAAATCGTGATAGCTCTCCATGGTGGGGTACTCCTCCACGGGGCGAGCCAGCAGGTCGCCGAACTCCACGGCCGCACCTGAAGGTGCGGTGAAGATGCCGACCTCGCTCTGCACGTGATCCGTCTCCGCCATGGAAGCGGGAGTCCCGCGAGGGCCGTGAATGGTCGACTCCACCGTCTCCCGCTGAGCCCCAGCGGCATCCGCGGACAAGCCCCCCGCAAGAGGCGCAGCAGGGGTCTGGGTACCAGCTGCTGGCCCCAGGTCGCCCTCCGGCATCACCGCAGGCGGCTGCGCCCGAGGGATGACAGCGCCTCCAGGCGGAGCCACCGTCGGCAAGCAAGCCCGCCGCCGCTGCCGGCTGGATGTGCAAGTCATCAGCGGCCTGACGAGTCTGGCTGACGGACTCCGCGAGCACGGCTGCGCCGGGCGGGCGTCGGAACCTGCGTGTCTCGGCCCGCGCGATCCCAGGAGGGATGGTCCGTCGATCTGAAGCGAGAAGCACCGCCTTGTGGTAAGGGCTCGACCCCTCACGGTGCTCGAAGTACACATCGGCATCGGGCGTCATGAATCCCTCCAGCAGCTCATTGACTGGAGTCATACCCTGCGGCCGCAAGTGGTCCCAGACTCGCTGGTGCTGCCAGCCTTGAGTCCCGTAGGGCAGGATCCAAGCCCAGGGCTGGACGGACCCTGACGCCATGACGGTGGGAGGCTGCCAGAGAAAATGATCCACAGCGGCTAGCCGTAGCGATGAGCTCTGCACCACGAGCGAAGAGAGGAAGCCTAGCACCACGCTCCAGAACCAGCATGAGGGCGGCATCACGTCGGGCGCTGGGCAGACTGAAGCTCGGGCAAGCCGCCTGCGTCGCTGTCGGGGACCCAGGGCACGATGTGTGACTCAGTAACGAGACAAGTCAGCTGGTATGTGTATGGTGGACTCTCGGGGTATGCAGGAGCTGAGGGGCAACGACTGTGGTGCGATGGCGCCCGCTCTCAGCCAGTCGGCCACCCGGTTCAACGAGAACCGGGCTTGCGCTTGAGCCAACAAGGTCAGGGAAACAACACTCAGACGTGATGCAAGCCAGCGACCTTCACGGCGGCCCAACCCCGAGGCAGAAGCTAACAAAGACGTGTTAAACACTAGGCATATATATATATATATATATATATATATATATATGTCGGCGGTGCGCCGTGGCACGAACCCCCCCCCAGCACTACCGGGGGGTTTCGTGCACTACCGGGGGGTTTCGTGCAGCCCGCACCGGGTGCCGCCAGCGGCTTAGAACACCCCCCCTTGCCGCTTTACCGGGGGGGTTCGTGCAGGCCGCATTGGGTCCTCCCCTGTCGCTTTACCGGGGGGTTCGTGCAGGCCGCACTGCGTCTACCTGGGCTCCCCCCCCCCCCTGTGGGAGTGGGGGGGTGGGAGTGGGGGGTGGGTTGGGGGGGGGGCAGGGGGGCGGTTGGGAAGGGTGGCTCCCTGTCGAAATGTGGCGTGTGCTCGCCTTGTGTTCTCTATTCGCGTCTGCTCGCCTTTGTTTCGCCTTCCTCCTGTTGGGCTCGTGGCCAAAATACGAGAGGCTACGGCGCAACTCCCAAGAGCCGCTGTGGGGGGTCGACGGCACGGCCGCGTAGAGAAGAGCAATGCCGCCGTGTTCTGGCACGGCCCTGGGATGCAATGCCGCCGCCGTGTTCCGGCCCGTCCTGGTAAGATTCGCGCGTCGGCGCTGGGGTTCGCGCGTGCCGGGAGCGCGCCGCTTACAGAGGGGTTGCATCCTTTCCGGGGGGTTTCGTGCAGCCTACCAGAGGAGGTCGTGTTTACCGGGGGGGTTCGTGCAAGCTCGCACCGGGAATGGCGCCAGCTCGAACCCCCCCAGGAGAGATTACCGGGGGGGGGGTCGCTCCGCACCGGGCACCGCCGACATATATATATATATATATCGACATATTTATGTAAGTTTTTATATGCGTACATATGTGTGGATAGGCATCTGTCTACGTCCATACAGATAGATGGAGAGATCGATACCCAGGTAAACATGTATATGTATGTCTAGATAGCTGTATATATATATGTTCACACAGGACTGCGTTGGCACTTCGCGCCATGCACTTTGGTCCTTGAAGTTTGGCATGCAGGCGGAAGGGCAGGAAAGGCAAACAAACGATTTAACTATAATTCCTTGTTGCCTTTTCCGGCATCGCTGTCAGACTAATGTTATTCATTATCATTCCTCCAGTTGTTTTTCTCTCCTCATTCTCGCCCTGCACTACAATTCCCCATCGTCCTCAGCTCTTTCTGCGGAAGCTCCTCCTTGGAGAGCCTCTGGGGGCCTCGCGGAAGTGTTTAAGGCTATCTTGAAACCTTCTGGAGGCCTGCTGGGCGTCTTCAGGGCGCCTCTGGGGGCTTCCTCGGGCCACCCTGCCTCCAACCGCGGTCTCCCTGAACGACCACGATTTGGAATGCTTCGGAAGGTGTTTTGGGGTCATCTTGGGCCGTCATGGGGCTCTCTTAGGCCATCTTGGAACCCTGTTGTGCCGTCTTGGGCCTCTCTGGGACTGCCTGGAATCCCTTTCGGATGGTTTTAGGGCGATTGTCGAGCCTCCCAGGCGGTCTCGGACGCCCGGAAGACCGAAGAACAGGGCATTCCTAAAATCATGCAAGGACCTTCGAAACTCAATGCTGTTCTGCATTTTGAAAACCTCTTGGGGGTCTTCTTTGGGTCGTCTTCGGGCGTCTGGTGGGTATAGGGTGTATACATAGACCCACAACTATACATATCAATCTATCGATATGCCGGTATTTACATAAGTGAATATATAGACTGGTCAATCGAAATGTATACATATATACATACTGATAAATGACATACGTGTATACATATGTATAGAGAGAAGGCGACAAAACATCGCATCAAGAGCACTGGATACAAACAAAACCAATCAAAGTCTTGTTCGGGCTATTGGGCTATGGGGCTATAGGGCGATGGGGCTATAGGGCTATGGGGCTATAGAGCTATAGGGCCATAGGGCTAGAGGTCTATAGTGCTATATGGCAGTAGGGCTATAGGGCTACAGGGCTATTGGGCTATAAGGCACCCGGGCACCCAGGCACCCCGGTGGGCCGCGGAAATCGGCAGCAAAACTCACATAACCATATGAAACTGGAGAACAAAACCCAATCATAACCTTTTTAGGGCTATAGGGCTATGGGGCCATAGGGCTATAGGACCACAGGGCTATCGGTCTTTAGGGCAATAAGGCTATAGGGCCGTAGGACTATAGGGCTGTAGGGCTATGAGGTCTGGGGCTATGGAGCTATAGTGGTATAGGGCCATAGGTCTATAGGTCTATAGGAATATGGGGCTATAGGGCTATAGGACCACAAGGCTATAGGGCTATAGGGCTATAGGGCTATAGGCATATATAAAGCTATGGGGCTACAGGGCAGGGCTATAGGGCTATAAGGCTCTAGGGCTGTAGGGCTATAGGGCTATAGGGCTATAGGACTATAGGGCGATTGGGCTATAGGGCTATAGGGCTATAACGCTATGGGGCTACGGGGCTACGGGGCTATGGGGCTATAGGGTTATACGGCTGTAGGGCTATAGGGCTATAAGGCTGTAGGGATATGGGGCTACAGGACTATAGGGCTACAGGGGCACCCGGGCACCCGGGCACCCGGGCTCCCGGGCACCCGGGCACCTGGGCACCCGGGCACCGGGGCGGGCCGCGGAAATCGGCGGCAAAGCTCACCTAACCATATGAATCCGCTAGAACCCCTACAGAGGCAAGCTCTGATTGGGGAACATACCCAAGGCAGAGGGCAACCCCACACCAGGCGCACAACCCCTGTTTCCTGTCGCGCACCGCCCTGTGACGTTGGGTCTTTGTCCTGAAGAGACAGCGCCCTGCGTATCCTTTCTTCTTTCGTTCCCTCCTACTGCCCTCCCCGCCCTCCATCCCTGTCATCCCTGCCTCTGCCCTTCGCATGTCAACCATTTCGGCACACCACTCTCAGTTTTCGTGACCCCATAGGGAGCTCCCACGCCGTTTCGGCACACCCCTCACGCGCATCGTGGCACCATATGGAGCTGTCCTCGTCTTCGCCCTCGTCCTCCTCATTATCCTCATTCTCCTCCTCCTCCTCCTCCTCCTCCTCGTCGCTTCAGCCTCCTCGCCGCCGCGCTCGACCATCCAGTCCACCAGCCCGTACAGGAGCTTCACGCCCATGTCGAGCACCTCCGAGCTGGAGGCGCGTAGAAGCCCGTGCGACGGGGAGGAGGAGGAGGAGGAGGAGGAGGAGGAGGAAAAGAAGCAGAGGGAGGAGGAGAAGGAGGAAGAAGAAGAAGAAGAGGAAGGAGGAAGGATCAGAGCAAACCCAACATTTTGCAGCATGTTGCAACAAATCATTCCGTCCAGAGACCCCCTCACAAGCACCTGCAGGCATGTGTGTGTGGATCCCAGAAGAAAGCTTTGGCCCAAGATTCTCTCCCTGCGTGGGGTCAAGCGGCGGCCGCTGGCTCAAGATGTGATTTTTGCCTCGAGGAGGAGGCCGAAGCCCGGCGGGAGCCGGCGGCGCCCCGGCGGGGGGACCGCCATGCAATGCTGGAGGCTGCGGCGGTGGTGCCTGGCCCCTGCGAGGGGCCAGCGGGGCCTTCGTGGCCGGCGGGGCTCTGTGGAGCCAGCGGGCGCTGCTCTCCACCTGCCCCCTCCTCCTCTCCTGCTTCCTAGGGGTGGCTGCCCTTCCCTCGACGTCACCGCTGGACTCGGCCTTGTCTTGTTCTCTCACGGGGCGCCAGGGGCTCGCGCCGAGCCCCTCCCTCTCCCCAGATCCTCCGCGTCGTGTTTTTGTTCGCAACGTCGACCCCCAGAGGTCTTCTGGACCCCTGCCCCGGGACCGGCTTCTCGTCCTGCTTTGAGGCCCGCCTCAAACGATCTGAACTATCAAATAACTATTTGTGATAGGTATGTTAAGAAACTATTTTGATACTATTTTATAATTATAATATTTTGAGGAAACAAAAGGTTGCTTCATTTTTACTTCCTTTCAAAGAAAAAGCCAAAAAAACACAACCATCACAAAAAAGGGAAACACACAAGAAAACGAAAACCAAAAACCAAAAAAAAAACGCGAGCAACAACAAACAAAACAATAACAACAACATAAACAAAAAAACAAACACAAAACAAAAAAAACAGGAAACAACAACAACAAAAAAACATACTAACAAACAAAAAAACAAACAAGAAAAAACAACAACAACAAAACAAAACAAACAAAAAACATACGAACCAACAAGAAAATACAAACAAACAATAACAACGAACACAACTAATGAACGTATAAGCAGGAAGGAAGAGGGAAGATGATAAGGAGGAGGGAACAGGATGAGGAGGGATAGTGAAGGAGGGAAGAGGATGAGGAGGGAAGACGATAAGGAGGAGGGAGAGGGAGGGAAGAGGATAAGGAGGAGGGAAGAGGATTCTGATAAATGAACACAAACAAACAAAAATAACGAAAGGGAGAGCGAAGAGGATGAAAAGCACGTCAGCATCACTGCCTTCGTCGCCACCGAATCGGAGTGGGAGGGGACGGAGGAGGAGGAGGGGGGGATGAGGATGGGGAGGGATGAATAGGAGGATGAGAAAGATGATGATGCTGCATATGAGGGGTGATGGTGAGGATCATGCTGGTGATGACGATGATGTTGGTAATGATGTTGGTGGCGATGCTGATTGCCATGATGACGCTGTTCATGATGGAAATGATGATGAGGATCATGAGGATGATGATGGTGATCATGCTGATGTCCATGAGGCACGAGGGGAACGAGGAGGCGGAACAGGAGTAGGATTACGGCGGGAAGGGAATTGGGAGAGCAGGCCGACAGGGATCATTGGGCTAACAGGTCTCGTTGGGCTCGTATGTGATCCAGGGCCCCATAGGGCTCATCAGGCGATTAAGGGGGTACTGGGGCTCATGAGGCTCACGCTTAAGGCTCATGCGACCTGTGTGCCTCATAGGACTCACAATATTCATGGGGGGCGTATGGCTCGTCATACTAATAGAGCGCAGAAAGCCCAAGGCACTTAGGGCCCTTAAGGTGCATGGGGCTCGTACTGCTCATGGGGCTCGTCGGGCTCATGGTGAAGCGGGCTCGAAGGGCTAGGGGGTTGAAAATGGGATGGTCGTCGTCATGATGCTTGGGTCGTAAAATAATCGGCGTGGTCGTGATCGTCATCGTGGCCGTGGACGTGGTCGTGGTCGCCCTGGTTGTGGTCGTGGTCGTTGTGGTCGTTGTGGTCGTGGTCACCGTGGCCGTGATGCTCGTCGGCGTCGTCGTGGTCGGGGTCGTGGTAGTTGTTGTAGTCGTAGTCGTTGTCGTGACTGTGGTCGTCTTCGTCATCGTCGTGGTCGTGCTCGTCGACGTTGTTGTTGCTGTCGTTGTCGTAACCGTCGTGCGCGATCTCGTGTTCAGCGTGGTCGTTGTCGTAGCCGTGGTCGTGGTCATGGTCGTTGCCGTTTCCGTCGTCGTGGCAATGGTTATCGTTGTCGATGTCTTGGTCGTCGTCGTCGGGGTCGCGGTGGTCGTCGTGATCGTCGTCGCCGTCGCTGTCGTCGTTACGACCGTCGTGGGCGATGTCGTCGTGGTCGTGGCCGTGGTGCTGCTCGTGGTTGCGGTCGTGGCCATCGTCGTGGTCGTTCATTACCATCATCGATTTCGTTTTCGTCGTCGGCGTGATCGCGGCCGTGGTCGTGCTCGTTGTTTTTGCCTTTTTCGTCGTCGTCATGGCCGTTGTCGTTATCGTCATTGCCGCCGTGGTGGTTGTTGACGCCGTCGTGGTTGTCGCCGTCGTGGTTGTGGCCACCCCCAACGTCGTGGTCGTGGTCGTGGTGGTTGTGGTCGTCGTGGTTTTGGTATTGGTCGTGATCGTTGCCGTGGTCTTGGTCATGGCCGTGGTCGTTGTTGTTGTGGTCGTGGTCAGTCGTCGTAGAGGACATCGTCGACGTCGTGGTGGTAGTTGGTGTGGTCGCGGTCGTGATTGTGGTCTTGGCCAGGGTCGTGAGTGCGGTGGTTGTCGTGGACATCGTCGTCGTCCGTGTGGTTATCGTCACGGTCATGGTCATGGTCGTTGTCATTCCCCACATGCTTAGTGGGGTTATGGTTTGCTTCACTGCCGCGTCGCACCCGCGTCGTCATTCCTCCTCCCCTCCTCCCCTTCTCCTCCTCCTCCTCCTCCTCCTCCTCCTCCTCCTCCTCCTCCGCCTCACGCGCACAGCACAGCACAGCTCAGCACAGCTCAGCCCAGCTCAGTCCAGCTCAGCGCGGCACAGCTTAGCACAGCTCAGCTCAGCTCAGCACAGCACGGGACAGCACGACACAGACAGCACAACACAACACAGGACATCACAGCGAAGCGCAGGGGGTGGTCTCCCTATCCGTTGTGGGCTCGCATAGCGTGGCAAGCGTTGCACTTCCCCGACACCAGAAAGGCTGCGCACGGGGTGGTCTCCTCACCGCGGCCGCTATCCACGACACTGTTTCTCGACGCCAGAGGGGGTACGCAGGGGGTGGTCTTACACCACGGCCGCTATCCACGAGTTTGCTTCTCGACGCCAGGGGGGGTGCGCAGGGGGTGGTCCCTCACCGCGGCCGCTATCCACGACACTGTTGAAAAGCATAGCAAGCGCGGCAATTTCTCGACGCCAGAAGGGGGCGCACGGGGTGGTCTCTCACCGCGGCCGCTGTCCACGACACTGTTTCTCGACGCCAGAGGGGGTGCGCAGGGGGTGGTCTCTCACCGCGGCCGCTATCCACGACACAGTCGAACAGCCTAGCAGGCGCTGCAACTTCTCGACGCCAGAGGGGGTGCGCACGGGGTGGTCTCTCACCGCGGCCGCTATCCACGACACTGTTCCTCGACGCCAGAAGGGGTGCGCAGGGGGTGGTCTCTCACCGCGGCCGCTGCCCACGACACTGTCGAAAAGCCGAGCATGCGCGGCAATTTCTCGACGCCAGAGGGGGTGCGCAGGGGCTGGTCTCTCACCGCGGCCGCTATCCACGACATTGTTTCTCGACGCCAGAGGGGGTGCGCAAGGGGGTGGTCCCCCACCGCGGCCACTACCCACGACACTGCCGAAAAGCATAGCAGGCGCGCAGGTTCTCGACGCCCGAGGGGGTGCGCAGGGGGTGGTCTCTCACCGCGGTCACTACCCGCGACACGGTCGAAAAGCCTAGCAGGCGCGGCAATTTCTCGACGCCAGAGGGGGTGCGCAGGGGGGGGGGGGTCTCTCACCGCGACACTGCCGAAATTCCTAGCAGCGCGGCAACTTCTCGACGCAAGAGGGGGTGCGCAGGGGGTGGTCTCTAACCGCGGCCGCTACCCACGACACTCTCGAAAAGCCTCGCAGGCGCGGCAATTTCTCGACGCCAGAGGGGGTGCGCAGGAGTGGTGTCTCACCGCGGCCGCTATCCACGACACTGTCGAAATGCCTAGCAGGCGCTGCCATTTCTCGACGCCAGAGGGGGTGCGCAGGTGGTGGTCTCCTCACCGCGGCCGATATCCACGACACTGTTCCTCGACGCCAGGGGGGGAGCGCAGGGGGTGGTCTCCCACCGCGGCCGCTACCCACGACACCGTCGAAAAGCCTAGCAGGCGCAGCAATTTCTCGACGCCAGAGGGGGTGCGCAGGGGGGTGTCTCTCACCGCGGCCGCTATCCACGACACTGTTTCTCGACGCCAGAGGGGGTGCGCAGGTGGTGGTCTCTCACCGCGGCCGCTACCCACGACACTGCCGAAAAGCGTAGCATGCGCGGCAATTTCTCGACGCCAGAGGGGGTGCGCACGGGGTGGTCTCTCACCGCGGCCGCTGTCCACGACACTGTTTCTCGACGCCAGAGGGGGTGCGCGGGGGGTGGTCTCTCACCGCGGCCGCTATCCACGACACTGTCGAACAGCCTAGCAGGCGCGGCAATTTCTCTACGCCAGAGGGGGTGCGCAGGAAGTGGTCTCTCACCGCTGCCACTACCCACGACACGGCCGAACAGCATAGCAGGCGCGGCAATTTCCCGGCGCAAGAGGGGGTGCGCAGGGGGTGGTCTCTAACCGCGGCCGCTACCCACGACACTGTCGAAAAGCCTCGCAGGCGCTGCAATTTTTCGACGCCAGAGGGGGTACGCAGGAGTGGTCTCTCACCTCGGCCGCTATCCACGACACTGTCGAAAAGCCTTGCAGGC